GTTCAGTTACGTATTTAACCTGTTCCAGTTATACCGATTAAATCCAATATCATGTCAAGTTCAGTAGAGCATCTTAACATAATTAATCAGTTAATTTATCAGTCTGAGCATAGTCAATAGTAATTGTTTATATTATATTTCAGTTTGATCAGGCATCAGCACTACCTTCAGTTTCACGGATCAGGTGGGGACTCAGACTAAGTACTACATTGATTATAATTACGGTACCATGTTTGAGGTATGTATTTCATGTCATCTATCCGCTCGGAATGGTCGCCGGTCCATTCTGGGTTCTAGTGACCTAGTCTGACCACTAGAGTGTGCACATGGTGTCCGACATTAGTTTGTGCCAGCAGATGAGGTAACGGTCATGGTTCACGTTCACGTGATGATATCAGATTCATGTTCATGTTATTACCGGTTTCATGTTCAGGTTATGTATACACCAGGATCATGATATTGTTATTATATTCACTGTTTACTTTAGTATGAGTTTCCACGGAGCACAGTGTTATAGTGCCCACGACCCACTTTTATCATGTTTTTCAGGTCAGGATGTCGGGCCGGAGGTGTGAGACGACGGTTGATTTGGGACTTTTATGCTTGTGAGTGTATATATTTTGATGATACTATGTTTCCGCTGATTTTTGATGTTTTGACGAACTTATCTTTTGATCAAACTTTCAGATAATTAATGTTTCAGTAAACCGTAGATTTTGGTAAAAATTAAAATAACGATTTTTCAGAATAAGTCACGTTTTACGGTAGCACCCCGAATAAGTTTTCGCAAATTAAAAGATTTTATTTTAAAAGTTTTGGCGAAATTACGCACTCTGATTTTTATGTCAAGGCGGGGTGTTACAATTGGTATCAGAACACGTTTCTGCGTCTCTGAAAAGTTTTCAGTCAGTAATTTTCAGAAAAACCTAAACCGTCATGCTCACGCCTCGCCGACTACAGGTAAGTGCTGATTTATGTTTTCAGTTATAAATATATTACTTTGCCTATGCTCAGAAATTATGAATCAGGACTTATTTAAGATGCTCGAATTAGGTTCAGACTTTAGAACTCAGTATATTCAGATATGACTCTAGAATTCAGTATCTTCCGATATGACTCTAGAGTTCCTCAGGATTCATGTCAGTATTTATCGGCCATTTTTGGCAACTCGTCAAGAGATTTGTATGTTTTAGCAATCAGTTAGAGTGCTATTCACGTGTTCAATAATGTTGAACTTTCTCAATGTTCTGATGCCGCCCCGTAGGGAACCCGATCACCCGGCTCTTACTCAAGCCACAGTAGTCGAACAGTTCCGCGACTATCATGCTGAGAAATTCTCCGGGCAGGGAGATCCCCGTATCGTGGACGAGTGGATTCAGGGCCTTGAGTTTATTTTCGAGGTCATGGATTGTCCAGACAGATATCGCGTAATCTGCGCTCAGCTTCAGCTAACCGATGATGCCCAGCTCTGGTGGAATGCCTACTGGAGCATGCGTCCCGGCGAGAAGGCGGGATGTACATGGGATATGCTCAAGGAGCTAATCCGCGAGAAGTACTACCCCACCTATTACAGAGCAGAGACGGAGCGTCAGTTCTTATCGCTCCAGCAGGGTACTCGTACTGTTGATGAGTACGAGATAGAGTTTACCAGACTTGCAGCCTTTATTCCGGACTTGGTTCGCACGGAGGCCCAGAGAGCACAGCGCTTCATTGACGGGCTTTACCCAGCAGTCCATCACAATATTGTAGGACATGGGACCCAGACATATGCTCGTGCAGTTTTTATTGCTCAGGAGGTGGACGCCAGCATCAGGAGGGAGGTTGTCCGTGATCGTCCTCAGCCATCCGCCCCCGCCCAGTCATTCACAGCTCCACCAGCTGCTCAGTCGATGAAGGAGAAAAAGAGGAAGGAGAGGGGTGCTCAGACCGACAGAAGGACCCGACAGAGACAGCAGCAGGTTCCACCATGCCCGACTTGCGGACGACTTCATCGCGGAGAATGCCACATGGGCCAGGACATTTGCTACTACTGCCACGAGCCCGGACATTTTGTTAGCCGCTGT